TTATGTATTTTTAAAACAGTTGAAATTAGCCACAAATCTAATAATGACCCAATTAAGCTTTTTACTGGTAAATTTATTTTGAATTTCCTTTTTATTTATTATTTTATATTTATAATAATTTATTTATTTTATTAATTAAATATTAGTTGAAGTTAAGGATTTGATCACAACTGAAGGTAGTTATTATTATTATTTGTATTTTATTTTATATCCTGGATTAAAATTTTTTTTAAACATTAATTTAGAAATTATGATGTTGGGTGAATTATCAATGGATGATTAATTATTTACATTAATATCAATTATTTATTATGTATTACTATTATTATTTATTCCTTTAAATAGCAAATAAATAAATTATACAGATTTAAATATTTAAATAATTCTATATGTATCTTTTTTTAAAAATAAAAATTTGCCATGTCTGTCTCTTTCTTAATTAATATAAACATTTTTGATTGTTAACATTGGCAATTAGATTCACTTAACCAAACTGCTATGACTTCAATAACTCTTGACCTTATCAAAATACTTTTGCACATTGATTACCATATTCAGTCCTAAAATTTCTAAGCTGTCTTTTCAGAACTTTTTTTAAAATGGTGGTTGCATGCAACTTGTCATTTTAGTTAAATTCCCAATCCTCCTGTCCTCATACATTGATCAACTTGCACAGTAGTAGCAATAAAAAAAGATTCAATGCTGTTTGTAACAGAAGGAGTTTAGTGTCATCCTCAAGGATAAAGATTACAAGGGTTTGAATAGAACTTTGATTGGAAAGAAATAAAGTCTATAATCTACAAAGGACTTAAAATATGACAAATTGAGAATAATGGTGGATCAAGACCCATGATGGCTGCCATACCAAAGGCTTGATCATTCAATTCTTTATTATTAAAACTATCAGGTTTTTTAGAAGAATTGTGCTTGTGTTTATTTCTGTATTTTGTCCTACATAATAAAAATACTCTGAATTTCCATAAAAGGGATTTTGATTTAAATTTTTTTTTTATAATAATTCAAAAAAAAATGTCATTTCGAAATTTCTTGTCATTATTATCATTAGACAGAGAAGATTTTGTGATTAGAACTTATGATGAATTATATGATAATTCTATATCAATTGCAAATGATATTTATGATAATACTTCATCAAACACATCTCTCAGAGAAATTCATAAGGCTAAATTTTTATCATTAGTAACTGAAAATGAAAAGCTTTCAGAAAATGAAAAAGAATATTGTAAAAAAAGTTATATTTATGATTTTGAATTAGAAAATGCAACTTATAAATGGGGTGAATTAAAAGAATGTAACAAGTGCAAATTAGGCAGATATTCAGACAGATTTTGTGAAAACTGTATTTGTTTACATTTACAGAAGCTTT